CCGTGCCATTCGGGCGCTTATACAGGAGGCGCAGGTCTACCAGCAGCGGTGCCTGAAGCAGCAGCGCCTGCTGCAGCAGCTGGACAATGAGGCGCAGCTTTTCTTCCACGGCGGCGTCGCGGGCTTGGGCAATCCAGACTTCCAGCAGCAGGCGCGTCGGATGAACGACGAGAGCAGCGCGAGAAGGACCGATGCAGAAGCCCAGTGCGCCAAAGCCTGGCAGGGCTGGGCCAGGGGCAGTTTCGAGGGCGATGCAGGTCGTGCGCATCTTTTTATCGAGGAGCGTAGCCCAATTCAGGCGCCGCGAGACGGGGCAGCCCTGAGAGCTGGCTGATCGTGACCTTGGGCAGAGCTTCAGCTGCCTCCAGATGCGCATGCGTGACCGCAGCCGGAGCCGATCTCGGTCGACGAATTAGGAGAGGCGTTGCCAGCGTTCCCCGAGTGTCTGTTGCGGGCCGGCCAGGCCTCCACCCTCGGCAGCTCATTTACCTGTCCGATCAAGCTGTGCTGGCCATGTTGCTCATGTTCACAGCGCGCGAGGACCAACTGGGCTGGCCGCCCGCGAGACCGGTCAGGCTTCTAGTCCGCCGCCAGAAACCAGATGGAAGCACCGGGCTGATTGGCCCCCCCCCAAGTCGATCGTCATAATCTGGAGCCGGATACGAAAAGCCCACGCCAGCAGCCTGGACAGCAACTCATCATTGGGAACTGGGCCTGGCAGGAGCTCTTCGGCGCCAGCGTTCTCTCAGCCTCGACGGCGACATTGCCGGCGCGCTCAGCCGTGAGACAGTGGCTCTCATGATTGATCTCTGAAAGTGTTTCGAGCCAGTATCGCCGCGCGTCCTCCTTCGCGAGGCGAAGGCAGTAAGGTTCTCGCCGACATTGGCGTGGGTGTTGGTCCAATGCTATGCCCAGCCTCGGACGCTTCAAGCACGTGGAAGCGAATCGTCGCTATTCGCAGCTCGCCGAGGCATTGGTGCAGGCTGTTCGCATGCCGCCGCTGCGCTCGAGGTTCACGTGTGCCACTCTATCAGAAGGTTGGCAGCTATGTGTCCTGCAGTGGGATCTGTCCCTTGGCTGGTCTGGCTAGGCCGGCGAGCGCGCCCGAGAGGTTGCAGATGCCGCTGATATGAAGCTACTGCCGCGCTCGAAGACTTGGGGCTGGCGGCCGGCGCGCCCCCGCCGATGCGAGCGCGGAGAAGGTGGTGCGCGAGTCGGCGAACAGCCGCCACAAACGACTTCGGAAGTGGATGGGGAACCTTGGCCACGAACTTGCTGCACGCGGGCCCCGGCGCGGCCGAGGGCAACCATATTTTCGGGCCTCATGCAGCAAGTCAAGAAATTGCATATCCTCAAAAAGGCCGTGGGATGCAGACGCATGGTCAGGACCCAGGCGGCAGGGCTCGCGCCTGCGGCTTTGCATGGTGGGAACGCTGGTGGGAGTCACGGCAGGAGTGAAACGCTGGGCTTCTCTCACAATGCGCTTGTTCCAGCGCAGTTCCAGGTGCGGCCCGATCTTCGAGGCTGCGACAGAAGTGCTGTTCCAGTGCGCGACGTGGATCTGGAGGGCCAGAGGTGCCTTTCATGAGCTGCATTTGGCTAGGCAGAGCATGCGGGCCAAGTTGGCCAAGTCCGAGAGCTGGTCCAAGACCAGCGGGCCCGTCGCAGCAGTCTGGATGTCGCCAGGCGCATTGGTTGGTCGATGCAGTCGGCGCCTGAGGTCGTTGCCGACACTAGCGCGTATTTCTCGCTGCTGCAGGTAGCGCCGCGCGATGTTCGAGACCTGGTGGGGCTGGGCGCCCATCGTTGGCAACTGCTCAATGGGCTCATATCTTTGAGTTTCAGGACGAGCAGATCTGGCTAGAAGGCTTGCGAACCTGCGTCGCAGGACCACGTGCCGTGCGAAGGTCCGAATGCCTCGGCGCCTTGCAGCGCCCGTGGACATGCGCGATGCGGCCCAGAGAGATAAAGTGGACATGCGGATATGTTGCCAAGCCAGACAGTGTAGCGCGTGGAGCGCCCAGAGAACAAATTGGCCACATCTGGTATGATTGTCCGAAGCTGCTTGAGATTTCCTGTCCCACCCCTAGCGCCGACTCTGAGCTGCAGGATTCTCCTGAGCGTACGCGCCCGCTTAAGACGCGCGAGCGACTGCGCAGTGAGGCCGCGAGGGCCTTGGGCCCACAAGCTTCTCATGGGGTGGCTTATGCTTGCGAGCTGTCGCCTCTCCCGCGTAGCTTCGAGAGGCCCGACATAACCCTTGAGCAATGGCTTGAGTGGGTGGGCCCCAACATCCCGTGGGCTGGAACCGTTTGCACGGATGAGGCTGGCCAGGACATGGAGTTTTGAGGTGGCTAGGTGCGCGTTGGTGCACTTGGGCCCCTTGGGTTTCCCTTCCAAGGCCCGTTTAGGGGGCCTGCCGGGGGTCAATCGGCGTCCCGAGCGGCGATGTATGCTGCGTTGCATGCCGTCAAAGCGCGCTCCAAAGTTGCGCGAATAGCGTCGGGCCATTTTTCGCTTGTGCAGGAAGGCCAGAGTTGGAACGTGAGGGAGGCAATGGCCGCTGCTCGCCACGCTGCGGTCTGGGGGGCGCTCCGAGGCGAAGTTGGACGGCAGGCCATGCCCCCTCGTCGTTTCGCCAGGGCCCCATCCCACATGTCCTTAAGATACAGGAGTAGGAGCGCGAGCCAGGCTAGGTAATGCTTGGGCGGATTTCTTTGCCTCTGTTGCATTGCATGTTGTTTGCCGCAGCCCTAGCTTCCACCGGGGCCTCGAGGCGCGCCTGGCAGAGGCCGTTGCCAACGCTAAATTCGTTTCTTGGGCTGGCGCGACAGTCTTGGGCTCGGAGCTCTGGGGCCCTTCCCAGCCCGGGGCCGGGGCCCTCGAGCCCCCTCCCAAGCCGCCGCGCGTCGTCCTTAACCCGCGCCAGCTCATCCAGTGCAGTGGTGGCGTGCGGTGTCTGAACTGCAACCTGCCAGCTCTCGCGGTTGCGACTCGTCGAGCGATTGAGGGTCGACCCTGGTGCCCATCTCTGTCGAAGGAGCAGAGAGCTGAGGCCATCCTTGCTGCTGAAGGGGGTCACCAGCCCTGCCCCTGCACCTTCATCCAGCGCTGTTGCCGCGGTTCTCGCGGCAATTGCGGCAGCGGCTAGATCCTCGCAGCGCGATGATGATTGCGCTGCCGTTGCGGTTCGGGAGGGCCACCGTGAATCCATCCGATCCCCGAGACGGGCGCCCTCTGCTGATGTGGGGGTGGTCGGTCGTCCCAGTCGTCGTCGGTGGAGGGGGCTCGGTGTGTTCGACGCTCGGCGCCGGTGGCGCGCCTCTTGGAGGCCGCTGGCGGCTCTCGTGCTGCCGCCCCTCTGCCCGCCCTGGTGGGGGCTGGGGGTTGGCAGAGTGGCGTGGGCCAGCAGGCGCAGGGGCGTGGCTGGCGGGCCGCGTCGGCACGTGTGGCGGCGTATTCGCCGAGTGGAACCTGGTGGAGGTGGGGCCCCAGGCAGAGTGCGAGGGAGGCGAGCACGCCACCAGGGATGGGTGGTGCGCCCACGGCGGGAGGAGAAGCGCCACCTGGGATGGATGGCGCGCCCCGTCCAGGGAATGACCAGGGGCGCCTAACCGATGCACAAGCAGGCTTTTGAATGATGGCCTAAGGAAGGGCCACCTGGGATGGATGGCGCGCCCGAGAGGCAGGGGGAGGCGCACCACCTGCGGTGGATGGCGCCCCCGTCGGGAAGCACCTGATCAGTGCACAAACAGGTAAGTCTCAGGTCATTGCCGTTCTCTTCCAGGTACAGACACGGTACGCGACTAACCGCAGGTGGATATGTAATATCGAGGCTCCCCAGAAAGACCTGGGCTGGCCGCTCGCTACGTGTGCAAATGGCAGTGATGCTGCCCCCCCAAAAGAAGAGGGTCGGCGGAGTCCAGGTTCCAAGCGATCAAACCACGGACGCGACTATCCGTCGCACAAGAAGGTGGATCATCGCACGCCAGTGCCTGTGGTTCACCAGCGCGACCAGGGGCGGCCACGCTGGATTCCAATAGGCCTGGCGGCGGAGCGGGACTGGGCCTCATGGCCTCTGAGGGCGCGGAGGTGCCGTCTTGTTCCACCAGGCTTGGGGCGTGGGGGCGGACATCGCTATCATCTGCTCGAGTGTCAGCAGGTTTCCTCTCCTGAACCCCGCCACAGCGGCATTCCTGTCCGCGAGCGGCGCCATGACACGTGGACCCCATGTCGCCTCCAGGTGCACGGTGGTCCTCCCCAGGAGTGAGGCTCACTCCAGGTCGGCCCACGCACATACACATCCCTCCTCCCCCACCCTCGCTCTGGTCGTCGTCGTCGTCGTCGTCGTCGTCGTCGTCGTCGTCGTCGTGGACCGGGTGAAGTCGACGGGGTCGGTGGATCGCGCCGCATCTGCCGATGCATCGTCGCTGCGGTGCGATCTGGAACCCGATTTTCTCAAACGGGACGCCGCCGATGCATCGCCGATGCATCTCCGATGCGGTGCGACCCTCTGACCCCGTCACCCCGGACGCCGCTCGGGCGGCCTCGGCGGCCGAAGGCGGGGGTTTCCCCCGTCAGACCCAGGGGGAGCGAGGAGGGAGAAAGAGAGAGAGGCGAGGGAAAAAGGGGGAGAGGCAGGAGGGCGAGGGACGATGAAGGACGAGGAGGGAGGAGATGCGAGGGATGAGGGGCAAGGAGGGAGAAGGGCATCAAAGAGGTCCTCGGGCCGTAACTCGGGGCCCTGGGGGCCGCTCGGGACGATCGGGGCGCACCTGCGCTCTCGGCGAGGCGCAGCTGCAGGAGAGCACCCCGAGGCTGGACAAAGCCGCTGAAAACTCCGAGGAGAGAGCGCCCGAAGACCTCGAGCCTGGAGCCTCGAGCCTCGAGCCTCGTCCGCCCGCCGGCGGGCGGTGGCCGAGGACCGCCCTCGTCGGCGCGTCGGGCAGCGGCAAGTCCACGGTCGCTGCGCTGCTGTTCCGGCACTACGACCCCTCTCGGCGGCGAGCGGGAGGGGGAAGCAAGAAGGAGAGGGCATTCTCACAAGGCGGCGGGGCTTCTCAGCCTTCTGAGGAGCGTTCAGTGGTGTTTGGTGCTTTCGGGGAGGACTCAGGAAACATCTCAAAAGGCAGGGGGACTTCCGAGCCTTCTGAGAAGGTCCGCCCTTTCTCGCTTCCCCCTCTCGCTCGCTGCCGATCCCTCTGCGGGCGATCCACTGGGGGCCTTCTGGCGTCTGCCGCCCTATCGGCCGTCGGCCGTTGTCGTCGTCGGCCTCCGTCAGCGTTCCGTCCCGCCTCGTTCTCCCTGTTCCCGCCTGTCTCCCTCCCTAATCCTCTCCTCCTGCTCCGCCCCTTGGACGCAGCCAAGCCTCGATTCTAGAGTCTTGTCTCCTCCCTTCGTTTCTTCTTCCTCCCCACTCTCTCTTTCCTCTTCCCCTTCTCCTTCCTCCTCCTCGTCTATATTCCTCCTTCCTCCTCCCCGTCTATATTACTCCTTCCTCCTCCCTGCTCTTCCCTCCTTGTACCTCATTGGTAACTGCTACCCGTCGGGCCACCAGACGTTTCCTTAGGCTGGGGTTGGGCGTTTCGCTTGAGGCTTTCTTGCGATCTACTATCCCGAAGGTTCACGTTTTCAACAGTTGCATGGATGGTGTGGGGGGTCCTCTTCAAATTTGGGCTCCCGCCTTTAACATTCTCTCGCAGTTGCACGGATGGGGACGGGGGCCTTTTCAAAATGTGACTCGCGTTAATGCCGCGCACAATTTTGTTGAAAGTTGGCAGCATTTACGCGGATTGATGCCAGGTCTTCGGTATAATCGATTTTTGGCTATTGGCTACTCGGAACAGCGCCGTGCGCAATTCTCCAAGCGTTTACATCAGCAGTTACACCGATGAACGCGAATTCTTTTTCAGAATGAGGTTTTCGTTTAAGGCATCCTCAGCACATCCTGCAATAAGTGTAAAGGTGTGCGACGGCTACACGGCTGGAGGCTGGTTCGTTTCCGAGTTGGAGCTTTTCACTTTTCCCTGGTATGTGACCACATGTGTAACACTGTGCGACATCGGTGTGCGTGGTTGGAGGGAGGCTCCTTTTCTACCAATGTGGCTCTCGCCTAGGAGTTCTTCAAACTTACTGACCAGGAGCTTGAATCTATTTCGCAGCTGCTCGGATGGAGGGCGCTCCTTTCCAAATCTGGGCTCTCGCGTGAGAAGCTTGCGCAACAGTTACATTGATGTCCTTTTCAAAAGGGGATTCTCGCAGGGTGCTACCTTATCGCAGTCTTCATCACACGCTAGAGAGGTGCAAGGAAAGCATGGCTCTCGCCTGAATGGCAGGCCCATGTGGCGCTTGTATTTCAAGGGGGGGCCTCGTAGTGAACAGGAAAAGACTTCGTAAAGGAGGACTTGAAGGGGCCGATGATGAGGTCACTTGGTACGGGCGGGCGTACTGCAGCCTCGTTGATACATCTTGGGTTTACTCTGGTCCTCTCCCTCCTCTTCCTCCTCCCTGCTCTCTCCGCCCTCCTCCCTGCCACGAAGATTCTGGTCTAGAGCCCCGTTCCCGGAAGCCTTTTCGAGTAAAGACGGCATGATCTATGTTCGACCGTCTTGTAAATCTTGGCTCAAAGATAAATAAGACCTCCGCTTGGCAGCGGGGCGTCCAGCCCCCGCGCGCGCCGGGCCGCACGCGATACCACGCTGGCGTGATACCCAATATCGAACTTACCATGCATATCATGGACATCGGCTGTGTCTCGAATCGGATCGAGACCTACGTGCTGGGGTACATCACGCCCCTGGACACCACCAGTCGCCAGGACTTCGACATAGAGGGCCAGCACGCGGACCCAGAGGTTACAAACATACTCATCATCAGCACCTTATTGGTTTAGTTTTTTGTATATAAAAAACACCAGCAAATCAAACGTCTTAAGCATCGGCTTTCACGTAACCTATTTGGAGGTCAGCTGATCAGCGTACTTGGTCAAGAGTACGATTATCTTCATCAAATGGGGAGGTGTTCTGGCTCTTGAGGGATCTACGCGAGACATTCCACCAGGCTGGAAACCAGGACCGCAGCGCTATTCAGTGCGAGTGTACCTCCAGAACCTTTCGATGTGGTGGCGTACCATGAACGAGACTGACGAGTCAGTGGCGGCTGTGTTTGTGTTATCAAGGCTCCACGGGGGCGTCGGGAAGCAGGTTCTTCGCTTCTCCGTCGAACGCGACGGCTTCAACAACGTTGGCGAGGGCGCGTTCGCGCTCCCGGCGATTGCGGCGCAGGTGGCCAGGAGCATCGAGGCCCAGACGCGCGGACTATCATAGTTCACGAGATGGTTTGGACAAGAGTATGGCCTAAATAAGCAGGTCAACGCCACAATCCATAACGACGTGTTCTTCGTGTTCGACGAGGGCATCGGGGCCATGCACCGTGCGTCGCAAACTTCGAGATGGTCTGCGACGAGGCATCAGGGACAGCGGGCCTAGAGATCAACTCGATCGGAAGGTCCCATTTTATTCCTTTCTGGATGTGAATTGCCTCGGCGGAGTCATGGCGACGTCAAGCTGAGAGTGGATTGATGCCTCAGTCGATGCGGCGAGGTAAATAGGCTGCTGAGCAGAATGACCAAATCAGATCAATCACTGAGAATTCAATACGTTTTTGGTGGTTTCTGGAACGGCGAACACACGCGAGCACAAGCGCGACGACGGCGCCTGCGAGTGCAGCAAGGGTGATGGACGCGACGGACGAGGATGCTCTGTGTGCAGCTCGAAGTGGCGCGTCGTTCCGGACTGTCCAGCCAAGGGCGACCGCGGGAAGGGCGAAGAGCGAGCAGCAAGGCGACGGCGATGACGACGGCAATAGCGACAAGGGGTCAACATCAGGCAAAGGCGAATGCAGAACAAATGGGCAATACTAAGAATGTCGGCGACAGATACGCAAGTCATGCGATGGCCAAGGAACAAGCGAAGACGAGCGGACAAAGGCAGACGTGGACGAGGACAAATGCCTCGGGCAGCGCTGCAAGGACGAGCGCGACGACGATGAGGACAAGTACTGCGCGGATTGCAGCGACGGCTCTTACGCTGCGTCAGCACCTCGAGGGGCAGCGGCGTCGCGCGCATCTCTAAGGAACCTGGGCGCGACGTTGGCGTGGGCTTCGCGGGCTCCGGAAGCACTGCGCGGCAGGGGGCGGATCTTCGGGCGTGTTGTGATGGCGACGAGGATCGCCTCAGTCGGAGACGACCAGTGCCAGCGCCGATGCCGTCCGCGTCTTCGGGCTCACTGAAAACAGATGCCGCGGCGGAATCCCCTTCGACGCGTCGAGCGAGTCCGACAATCCAGGCGTCTCCGGAAGTCCAGCGGGCACTTCCAAGGGCTCAGCGCGAAGATGCTAATTTCTTGAGTATCGGGGCTTTCGAGAGGCATAGGCTTCGGATCGCCCGGGCAGTGCTTTCGCACTCAGCGGCGGCGTCGACTGCCGGATTGATTTGTTCGCGGGGGCCTCTGCTTCCGCGCGTGGCCCTCGTCGCTTGTCCCCGGCGGCGGCGGCGGGGCGCTTTCCCAGCAGTGCGGGGGCTGCAGCGACGCGGGCCCTTGCGTGGCCCTGGAGTGACCTTCGGCGTCGCGGGCGCGAACGCCTTTGGCGGATGCTGCGGGGGCGTGGCGGGGCCCTCCGGCATCGACGGCGACCTCGTGCCCGCGATGGCGAAATTCACGGGGGCAGAGGGCGCCTGGGGTCGGCGGGGCCAAGGTGCCGCTGGGAACGACCATGTTGGAGAACGCCCCCTTCTCTAGCGACCTTCTCGGTGGCCATGGATCGATGCGCCCGGGTTTGGTCCATTTCATATCACCCAGTGAATTCAAGCCTCGATGTTCGTGGAGGTGTTGCCGCCCGTGGATGGAACATTGGCTCTCTTCCCAGTGGGCGACAGCGGGGGTGTCGCAGTGGAGACGTGAATGCAGCAGACTACTGCGCGCGGGCTCTAACCGCTGCGTGACCTCGACCGACTACTGCGACCATCCCGAAGAGGTGGATTAAAGCTACTTGCGCGGAGAGCTGATGAAGTACCCGGAGGTTTTCGTTTCATTCGGCAAGGAGATGCACGGCGTGCTCAGGCCTGACAGGGAGCGACCGGGGAAATTTGAGAGCATTGAGTATTGCTGCGTGTACCAGAGGGAATGCAACAGCGCGCGAATACTTAGGATGCCACATGCATTGTTGGCAAGATGACAGCGGAATTGCGCGCGCTGCGAGAAGAGATTAAACAGCTGCGATCAGACGGTAACTTCAAACTCTCTGGTCGCGGACGACGATTGTGGGCGTCGGCGAACATCGGCGATGTCGAGGCCTACCTCGGGAATTTCGTTGCCGCTGCCATCTGCGGCCGCCTCTCGTGGCCCCGTGGAAGTGGCTTTCTCTGTCTGTGGAGGACTATCAGAAGAGTGCAATGCGACCGAGCAGCGGCGTTACTTATAGGACGTGGGCCAGTTTCAATGATCAGGCGCCGTGGGGGGTTCATGTCATGGCAAAGCATGTGTCGGCGCGCCCAAGAAGTTCATCATGCGCGCCCCAGTTGCCAGTGATTGCCCCGATAATTTCGAGAAGGCTCCGGGGCACTTCCGGGGGGCGGCGTCCGAGATGTTGGCCCGGAGCGTCTATCGGGGGGCGGCGCGTTGCCACTGTGTGCGCGCAGATCTAACGGAGCGGTGGCTTTCAGGACAGATCTCCGGCGCGGGCGGGGCCCTCGACGCCCTGGGTGCTGGCGGGTCATCGCGCGTCTTTGAGAAGGCGGGGGTGAATTTCCAGTTTTGCCGGCCAAAATGCGCACCGTGGCCCGTGGCGTGCCAGGCGGCAAATCCCGCGGAGAAGAGTCGGTCTAGAACGAGATCAATCTCAAATGGCGTGGATAGTGGATGAATGCAAGAAGACACCGATGTGCGACGATTGCCGAGTGGAGAGTCCGAATATGCAGCGGTATCTGGTCTGAATCTGAGT